CACACACCCACACAAAGCTTTAAGGTCTGGCTTTGATCACTCAATGCAATTGAAGTATTCTGTTACTGAGTTGTCAGCAGCTAAACAAAATGTCTGTGTGAGACAGTTGTAGTTCTCTACCTGCATGGTGTCCAGCAGCAGCTCAGGAACTGTGTGAATTGTGGATTCTGTGCTTCTCTCTGCTCGCTCGTCTTCTCTGATGTTTTGTCGGTCCTTCCACCTCTCCTCCTCCTCCCCCTCTCCCTGCCTCTGCACCTCCATCTCTCCACTGTCTACACCTGAACATGAAGACAAGGAGTGCAATTCTAAAACACAAACTGTCTGTTTAATCAGATCCTGGTGAGCAGGATAAGAAGAAATGCGTCACCTGTCTGGGAGGCCTTGGTAGAGTCCAGCTGCTCAGGCTTCAGCTCCTGGACCTCAGCAGCTTGAAGGTCCTCTTCCTGGTTCTCTGTTTCCATGGCAACATCCTCGTCATTCTGATCTTCATCCTGGTCCTGCTGAGTTCCTGCTGCTTTCTGCTGGTCTGCACTGGCAACATCTGGAAGCAGCAAGAACAGAAAAAATAAATCTATCCATGTATCTACTTCAAACCTGCTCTGATGATTAAACCTGACACGTTGTTGGAGAACATCACAGGAACTGTAAATACACACTTTGTATTCATGGAGTGTTTCATTTGTGTGTGGAGGTGATTACTGACCATATGTCTGTGTGTCATAGGCCGTCTCTCCCTGTTTGATGTGCTCATACAGGTCTGACTCCTGCTGGGCATCACTTTGCCGGCCGTCCTCAGTGCGATCCTTACTGCTCTCCACTGTACGCAGACGCTTGTTAACACGTTCGTTGTAATCACCGGTTGACCGCTCATTGTCTGCTTGACCTGGTTTCCTCTTGAAGCTCTGGAACACAACAAAAAAAACTGTGAGGAGAATATGGATTGAAAAACAAAGGGAGGTAGATTCATGAGAATGCTGATGGTTTGGGCTCTCTCTGAGAGTCCGGTTGTACCTGAGTCTTATCCTGAGTGTGTGTCTGCGATGCCATTCTTGCTGTCAGCTTTGACTGGTGACCCTCTGATTGGCTGGCATCAGCGGCTCCACTCCCATGCTCCTGACAAACCACAAACATGGAAACATTTTAGATTTGATCGTCTTTAGGGAAACAATTTGTAGCTCTAGCTCATTTTCAAAGAAATATTTTATTGATTTTTTCAAGCTAAATTAGTGGGTTGACATGACCAACACAATAATCATACAATCATACAGGAGCTCAAATGTAATGGCTCACATCTTAAAAGAAACATACACAGTATATAGTCATTGTTTAGTCATCTTGAGCAGAGAATGTGTGTATGTTAGTGCATGCGTCTACGTCAGTGAATTAAGGATTTATTTCAACCAAACCAGAGTTGGTGATTGTAGGAACAGTGGAACGACTAACAAAGATGGTTTTGGTTATTTAGTTT